TCGTTAACAATGGATTTACTGGAGGAGCCATCGATCGGGTGATCGCACGGGTCGCAGAGCCCGTCAGATCGGGTGGGAAGAACGTGGAAATCCTCTCTTCTCCGGATCAGTTGGCCGATGCCTGCAAAAGTACCTTACTAGGCACCAGTTACTGCATAGCAGCTGCAGTGTTTTATTCGTCTCCCACCGAGGGTCCCGATGAAAAATGGAATTATACGCTCAAGGCGGATGGCAGCTTGGGCGGCGGCAAGATTCGGACCACGGATATTGACAATGATGCTGAGATCTATATTATTCCATTCCAGCATGCAGTGGATTGGGCTATTGCATCTGTCGATGATACAAATGACGGTGGCTTGCCCCAACAAGAGGTCAGTGGTTTGAATTCTTCCCACCAATCCGTTACGTTACGGATATGGCACTTTTTTGCACGGGGTCTAACGAGCTCCTTACCCTGCAGGTTCTGGAATACCCGTACACGTCGAAAACTGCAGAAGAACGAAGACAGACTATTCGCATTCGTTATATGGGCGCAATTATTGACATCCTTGCCATCGCGTTTCTGATCGGCATTGTCGGTGTGACATATCAACTCACGGGCCTCGTCGCAGCTGAACGTGAATTGGGCATGAGCCAGCTTATCGATTGTATGATGCCGAATAATGCACTCTGGCAAGCACAGGCTGCCCGATCCGTTGCTGCACATCTCGCATTAGATGCGATTTATGCACCGGGATGGATCGTAATTGCAATCATCTTGAGCCTGGGCGTATTCAGCAACACATCGCCCGGGATTCTGCTTATATTTCATCTCTTAGCCGGCCTTTCTTTATCCTCATTTTCATTATTTGGTGCATCTTTTTTCAAAAGAGCGCAGCTCAGTGGAATATCCGTGACTATTGCTTGCCTCTTGCTGGGTATCATTTCTCAAATTGTCGGCCCGGAAAGCAACGGCGGCGTTGCAATTCTTTCTCTTCTATTTCCTCCTATGAATTACATCAACTTCACAATATTAATGGCACGCTGGGAACGACAAAATCTTCCAACCAATATGGTCAAGTCTGCCCCAGAAAGTCCATGGACCATCCCAGGGATTGCTTTTTGGATTTTTTTAATCATCCAGATCCTAGTTTATCCAATTCTTGGTGCATGGATTGAACGGCTATTCTATGGAACGCAGTGCAAAGACAGGAAGACCACAAGATCCAATGAAACTACGACCGCTGTTTCATTAAATAGATTCACTAAAATATACAGGCCCAACTGGTTTTACAGAAATATCGGCCCGATGCTCGGTAGCCGACGGCAAGAAGTATTGGCCGTTGACGACCTGACCCTTGAAGTGGGTAAGGGTGAGATTATGGTCTTGCTTGGTGCTAATGGAAGTGGGAAGTCCACCACACTGGACGCGATTTCTGGCCTCTCAAAGATCTCTGCTGGACAAGTTGCGGTTAACTATACCGAGACGGGCGGTGGATTTGGATTGTGTCCTCAGCGAAATGTTCTATGGGATCGTCTGACCGTCCTGGAGCATGTTCGGATATTCAATAGTCTGAAGGCAGCCAACAAGGTTGACACCAAGGAGAGGCTCCTCGAACTTATCACAGCATGTGACCTAGATAAAAAGACAACTGCCCAGTCGCGAACCTTATCTGGCGGACAGAAGAGAAAGCTCCAGTTGGCTATGATGTTCACTGGAGGATCGTCCGTTTGCTGTGTTGATGAGGTTTCTTCGGGCCTCGATCCGATATCAAGGAGAAAGATCTGGGATATTTTACTCGCTGAGCGGGGAGAGCGGACAATTCTGCTGACTACGCATTTTTTGGATGAAGCCGACCTTTTGGCGGATCATATTGCCATCCTGTCTAAGGGTTCCCTAAAAGTTACAGGATCAAGTGTCGAGCTTAAGGATCGCCTTGGGTCGGGTTATCGAGTTCATGTATATCACGGTCCGGGTCCCGAAAAGTCGTTTGTATCGACCTTTAGGAGTGTACCGTCGGAACAACAGAACGATCACATTGTTTACAGTCTTCCAGACTCTTCAGACGCGGCAATTTTTGTTATGGAACTGGAGCGACTTGAAATTTCAGATTACTCTGTTAGTGGCCCAACTATCGAAGATGTGTTCCTGAAAGTAGCGGAAGAGGTTCAGCTCCGCCCAATCCTCCCCAAAGACGAGAAGTTCAGTGATGTCAAGGAATCCCAACAAACCCTAGACCTCTTAACCGGGAAACGCATTGGGATGGCGCGGCAAACTTGGGTCTTGTTTTGCAAAAGAGCCACAATTCTCCGCCGGAATTGGCTTCCTTACTTGGCTGCTTTCTTCATTCCTATCATTGCTGCTGGTTTGGTGACACTATTCCTGAAGAATTTCAAGCGGCCTGGCTGTTCCGGCCCGGGAACTACGCTCGAATTCGATATCGAATCTCTCTTATCCCAAGTTGATCTTCAGTTAGTTATTGGCCCAGCAAACAGGGTTACACCGTCGTCGATAGGCGAATTCGCGAGCTCTTTGCCTGGCTCCTCCTCTCCTAATTTCAATGCCTCAATTCTCAACAACACACATATTGTTAACACACTGGAGGAATTCAACAATTATATCGACAATAATTTCCGAAACGTAACTCCAGGAGGTTTCTTCCTGGGCGATGAATCCTCACCGCCAACCTTTGCTTGGAAGGGAAACGGAGATATATCGCTCCCCGTGATTGTTCAAAACGCAATGGACAATCTCCTGACGAACGTCTCAATCAGCACGCAATATCAAAGCTTCGAGCTTCCTTTTGCCGAGAACTCGGGCCAAGCTCTCCAGCTGATCGTTTACTTCGGTCTAGCTCTCTCCGTTTACCCGGCCTTTTTCTCCCTTTATCTCACTGTCGAGCGACTCAGGAACGTCCGTGCACTTCACTATAGCAATGGGGTCCGAAGCTTTCCACTCTGGCTTGCCTATCTGTGCTTTGATTCTCTGATTGTACTTGCAGTCAGTGTTTTGGTGATCATCATCTTTAGGGGGGTCTCGGATACATGGTACTACCCGGGATACCTGTTTGTTGTCCTACTCCTCTACGGTATTGCCGCGACTCTCTTTGCATATGTCATATCACTTTTGGCAAAATCTCAACTGGCTGCGTTTGCTTTTTCTGCGGGCGCTCAAGCGTGAGTAACTGTTCCCCGACCGAGGTTGATGCCGATGCTAAGGATTACTAGGGTCATGTTTCTCCTCTACTTCATTGCCTACATGTCAGTTCTGACTTACGCTCCGACTACTCGAGTAAACAGTCTGATTACCACAATGCATTTTGTGATTGCGGCTCTCGCTCCAATCGGCAATGTTACGAGGTCCATGTTTACGGCCCTCAACATCTTTTCCACTCTCTGCAGAGGCAAAGAAGTTGCATCATACCCGGGAGAGATCAAGTTATACGGAGGTCCTATCCTTTATCTTGTTCTTCAGTCAATATTTCTTTTCGGGTTATTGATCTGGTGGGATAGTGGACCTGTCCTTCGTAGATTCCGGAAGGAAACCAAAGAAGAAGATCCAGAAGAGGATCTCAGTGGGGATGAAGACCTCAATAATGAACTTACCCGAGTCTCGAGCTCTAGCGATGGCCTCAGGGTTCTGCACCTGACGAAGTCATTTGGGAAATTTGTTGCTGTCCAAGATGTCACATTTGGAGTAGCACGGGGCGAAGTGTTTGCATTGCTTGGACCTAACGGCGCAGGAAAATCGACAACTATAAGTCTTATTAGAGGTGACATTCAACCATCTCGGAAAGGCGGAGAGGTCTTTGTCGAGAATGTATCGGTTACTAAGCAGCGTGCCACCGCGCGAGCTCACTTAGGTGTATGTCCACAGTTCGATGCGATGGATCAAATGACGGTTTTGGAACACTTGAGGTTCTATGCTCGCATCCGCGGGATTTCGGACGTTGAACACAACGTCAGCGAAATTATCTGGGCAGTTGGTCTTCACCCGTTCCGCCATCGCATGGCGGCCAAGCTATCGGGAGGAAACAAGAGGAAATTGTCGCTTGGAATTGCATTGATGGGCAATCCAACGGTCCTTTTGCTTGACGAACCTTCGTCCGGAATGGATGCCGCCTCCAAGCGAATCATGTGGCGCACCCTCGCAGCAGTTGTGCCTGGACGCTCTCTAGTCTTGACCACGCATTCCATGGAGGAGGCTGATGCTCTCGCGAAACGTGCCGGAATTATGGCGAAAAGAATGCTTGCTCTTGGAACTACCGATTATCTGCGCAAACGACACGGTAACGCCTATCATGTCCACATAGTCCATAAGTCAGCCCCGCATACGAGCGACGAAGATATGGAAAAGGTCCGCCGTTGGATTATAGACCATCTTCCTGGCGCATCTGTTGAACAGAAGACATACCATGGACAATTACGTTTTAGCGTTCAAGCCTTTAATTCACACTCTGATGCGGTCTCATCCGTTAACTCCAGGTCTGATGACCCAGACAGGATCGTACATAGTTTTGGCGACGCTGGGGAGTCGAAGAAACCTACGGACGGGCTACCTGCAAGCTCCAACAGCGCTATGAACAGGGAGAGCGTCAGCGTCGGCAGAGTATTTTCCCTCCTTGAAGCGAACAGACTAGACCTTGGAATCGAATTTTATTCCGTCAGCCAGACTACGCTTGATCAAGTATTTTTGTCTATTGTGGGAAAGCACTATGTTGGAGAGGACGGTGAGGTCTCCTAAATAAATGGTGAAATTCCTTGGAGTTTATTTTCGATCCCCTTTCCTTCTTGTAGCATTTTTGTTATCCGCCTGCGTCCGAGGCGGGTTGAGTAAATGCTTTCCCAAGGCCCTTAAAGTATCTTGCTCAAGTATCTTAGATTTAATCTCCTTAGATGTTGCTCTTTTAATACCAATTGATTGATGCCGGTTAATCGTTCTTACCAGCCTTATATCACATCATAAATTGATCACCAACTCTATTCCTGCGACTTAAAGAAACATCGAAGGGGACTTCCCATCAACTCTCTTCGAGTCTTCCCTTCCATTCGTATACCATTCTCACTTTCGCTGCTCTTTCGCCCTTTCTGACAATAAACCGGCGGACATGATATCTCTCTCCTTCTATCATTGCAAATCCCCAGATCTGCTCCGCTGTCCATCCTCCCTTACTACTCACCACGTATACCTGGACATGCTTCCCGTCATCAGAACCGGCCTCAAAGCTAAGGTCTCCCTCTTCATCTAACCAATCCGCCGTGAGGAACGGATCAAGTGGAGTCCCGTCACCACTAACTGAGTTTTGATCGATTGTTGTCCATCGGGTGCGTACTTTCTGTGTTCCAAACATGCCCGAACCATGCGTGAATTCCATCCAATTGAGCTGATGATCCTCTGATTCGCCTTTGATGCCTCCCGTTGCGGTCTGATCGATGTGAATGGTTGTCAGGCCACCTTCAGTTCTTAATTGCTTCAGGCGTCCTGTTATGGTAGCCCAAGAAACGGCTTTGCGAACAATCCATGGAATGCCTTGTATTTCGAGGCAAGGATCTAAGTCGTCTGATAAATTTTTGCTCTACATGCGAGTGAAGGTGTTAGAATTCCCACCATCGACTATGGGAAATGGACTGGACGTTGAATAAGTTACCCACCATGACCCAAATGCCGCTGAGATTTTTCATAGTGACCTCTGAAGGAGCCGCCATGTGTGCCCACTTTTTTGTCGCCCTAGGATACGGAGTACACAGGATGGTTTGGCCCTCAAAATATCAAGGTGATAAGCAAGACTCGTCCGATTTGGTGGTGATCCTGGCCAAGACCGTGCGACGGAATCTTCGTCAACGCCCCCTAGGCCTCTGGGTACGAGTTGATCGCATCTTATTGTTTGTTGATACCATTATATGTCCGACCACCTTGACTACAGATGGGAACGTCGAATATGTCCGACTCACGCTATAGCTGAACTCGGTAGATCAAAGACGAAATTCGGGCTACTTGTGCTAATCAGCTGGCACCTGCACACGAATGTTCTCCTATGCCAATGAAAGTACAGAGTACTTTGTAGTTCCCGAATCTCGTATGGTGTACTCCGTAGAAAACACATTATGGCGGATTGACTGGTTCTCAACGAGTAAAATACACTCCGAAGCCGAATCCCCCCTTTACATCACGCATATGTAGCTGAGATTCCGGGCGAATTGTTAACATCTATCTGTTTTCGCATCCGTTCCGGCAATATGGTCGGACACCGTGGCTCGCTGTGCATACATGCAATCCAGTCTGACCGGCTCCCACGACGCCAAGGCGCTAGAGGATAGATTACAGCAGCCGAGCACCGGTGTAAAATACATCGCTTCCGAGACCAGCGGTAAGCTTAAGCTTGAAATGCGCGATCCGGAAGTTTAAACGGACCGCGCCGCCCGGAACGCCGGATCGCGATTGGCTGCTGTTCCGTTTAAGCCTCGCCGCCGTGCTTGGCCACAATACGGCGGATACGATCGGCCGGAGTGGCACTTAAAGGCTGCTGAGAGTCATTATATTTCTACCCGGGATTGGCTCATCATGAGATAAGTGATGGCTTCTTGGGTAACTCTTCTCCTTGCCCGGGGCACCTGTCACCTGAAGGGTATCTCAAAAAACCCAGATGGAGTGGCCTTCCGTGAATAGCGCTCGAATGCTGAGTGTGATGGCCCTCCTTGTAGCGAACTGTAGTAACACAAGTTGCCCATCCCTACAATCAGATGGGTCTGAAGCAAACTCGAATCACGCGCCGCGTAGCGATGTATATTCTATTCCCGCCTATTCCAAACTTTGCGGCCTTCGGATGTTCCTTGCCCGGAGATCTTGTCCCAGATAACTTCGTCTTCGATATAAGAATGGATGTACACCTGGGTCGGACAGCTCCGGTAGACTAAGTAGAGAGGTGGCACTTTTATCCTGCAAAAGCTGCGGTCAATTCCAGAATGTCCATAGGCTCATCGTGGATGCGAGAGCGAGTGAAAGAGATTCACCAGGCGCGCAAGGATAGAGCACTCTTGGGTTGACAGCCAATATCTCTTTATTTTTTTTTATCTTGATAAGCTCCACTTTTTCAACTGCAATAACATTAACGGCTGCGAATCTCTCATGTGTTGCAGCGGGCGGATCGAGTAACCATACGACCTTAGAGGACGTCAAAGATATACATACACCGCAGCATCCACTCTATCACAGTATTCAACCCTTCCCAACCTTCGAACACCACCCGATCACTCGATATTCATTCCAAGGTGGAGGGCTGGATAACAACTTCCAGAGCTTCGGTTACACGATGTCAGAACCAGGTCTTCCCAGCGGGGATACCGTGGTCCCTACCGAGGGCCAGAAAGCGGAACGATTAACGATGGACGAGACAAGAGCAAGCGAGACCACGGCTGGGAGCAGCGGAGAAACTAATGAAATTCTCCAGCAAAAGACATCTATGAGGAGCAAGGGCCTGCGATTCTGGGCAATCATAGCAGCCCTTGCAGTTGACGGGCTCCTGACTGCCCTAGAAGCAACCATCACATCAACTGCTCTGCCAACAATTATCGGGGCTCTTGGGGGGGCAGATCAGTACATCTGGGCAGTCAACGTGTATTTTTTGTGCATGTAAGTTGGCATTTATCCAAGGTCCCTTGTGGCATGAATGATGACAGGGGGCGCAATTTAGGACCGCGCTACAGCCACTTTTTGGGCAGCTGGCAAACGTTTTCGGCAGACGTTGGCCCACCATCATAGCCACAGCGTTGTTCATCCTAGGAAGTGGAATCTCGGGCGGTGCGCATAACATGGGCATGATGATCGCAGGTCGCGCTATCCAGGGTCTTGGTGCCGGCGGAATCAACGTCCTTATCGAAATCATCATCTGCGACTTGGTTCCGCTGCGAGAGAGAGGAAACTATCTCGCATTGATATTCGGCCTAATCGCACTGGGGACAGCCCTCGGCCCCTTTTTCGGCGGTCTAATTGTTCAACATACCTCATGGAGATGGGTGTTCTACCTCAATCTCCCAATAGGTGGCGCGGCTCTGGTCCTGCTGGTTCTCTTCTTGAAGGTCAAGTACAAAAAAGAGGACACACTCGCGACGAGACTCAGCAACATCGATTGGATCGGCACTGGGGTCTTCGTCGGATCAGTGGTTTCGATTCTGATATCTTTGTCTTGGGCCGGTGCATTGTACCCTTGGTCGTCCTACCGCATCATTGTCCCGCTAGTCATCGGTTTTGTGGGACTTATTGGCTTCCTTTTCTTTGAAGGATCCAGATTCTGTGTGGATCCAACTATGCCTCTGCACCTCTTCTCGAATCGCACATCATTGACGGCCTTTATCCTTACATTCCTCCACAGCATTACCACGATCTGGGCGATATACTTCCTTCCAGTGTATTTCCAAGGCGTACTCATTTCGACTCCTGGACGCTCCGGTGTCCAGCTACTTCCCACGATATTGATGTTGATCCCGTTTGCCGCCATATCCGGAAAAATTCTGGCTCAATTTGGCCGCTATCGCCCACTCCACCATGCCGGATATGCGATTATGGTTATAGGGCTTGGGCTGTTTACTCTCTTGGACGAAAAGTCCTCAACCGCAGAATGGGTCATTTATCAAGCCATTGAAGCTGCGGGTGCAGGTTTGATCATTCCGGTACTACTACCGGCGGTTCAGGCTGAGCTCACCGACAAGGACACGGCCCTGGCGACATCCACATGGGCTTTCATACGAAGTTTCGGTATGGTATGGGGCTCTACCATGCCTGCCGCGGTGTTTAACAACCGATTCGATCAACTCGCTGGCCGTATCAGCAGCGCAGACGTCGCTGCCCAGCTCAAAGGCGGGAAGGCGTACGAGCACGCCACAAAACTATTCCTCGAAGCACTACCAGCCAGGATCCGTCAGGAAGTTATTTCTGTCTTTTCAGACAGCTTAAAACGCACTTGGCAAATCGCAATCGCATTCGCAGCCCTGGGATTTGTCGTTGTCATTGGTGCACGGGAAGTGCCCCTGCGACAGGAGTTGGACACCGAGTATGGAATGGAGGATGGGTCGAGGAAGAACAGCGTGGTCGTGATGGAGGAAGGGGAGAAAGATGGTCAGGAAAAGGCGAATGGAGAAGGTCAAAAAGCTTTTCAAGTGTCAGAGACAATTGCCTAGATCTGCCGCGATCTTGGAGTTGGTCATTTCTGTGGACCCGGATCGCCGTGTCGTCTTGTAATTATGCCTAGTTTGTGCAGGAGTCATGGCCTGTCTGGGAAGTTCTTTTTTGGCAATTAGTTTTTAGGTGGTAGAATAAATGGTTCTAGATGTTGCATACTGCATTTTGTATGATGATGAATCCGGAGTCCTGGCAAAGTGATAACTAATATCAACAACACATTTTGGATGGCATTGAGATCTGAGATGAAGTTGAAACTCCCTACGGTAACTAATAGCTAAACTAGCCTCTTGGCGCCAACAGCCCCTAAACATTAGCCCGAGTTCGGCGGCTGCCGGGGTGGGGCGTCCCGGCGTCAATTGGAACGCGCAGCGCCGAGAACCACAGCGGCAACGATGCAGAGCCACCCAGGAAAGTCGACAAACGTCAATCTCCGCACATTCGCGTCCACAAATGACTTCACAAAAGCGTACCCTTCGTCCGTGGACTTTGCCTTCCAAGCCTTTTCCGTCAGACCCAGGTGTTCGAGTCCCAGCCGCAATGGATACATGTGGCCGAAGGTGAAAAGAATCCCACCCAGCCAGAGCATCGACGGCGCGTTCGACATCCCCGAGAATAGGTTGATGAAGCATAGCACGAGTGTCGTGATATGGCATGGCGCAGAGAGATAGACGGCATTCCGGAACCCGAGAAACCAGTGGTAGTACAGTGCCTGTCGAGCGACAGGTGGTATGGAGTTATTGAGAAAGGATCCGACGGCCTTCTGCTGGACTGCGGAGCACATGAAGCTACTCTGACTCTCAGCGTGAATCTAACGGAGAATATGATTCTGGACTTACGCCGCTGAAGAACTTGCTAACGGCCCAACGGCGATGATTGTTGTAATTACGCCCATATCGACAGCGTGATCTTGATCGGCGAAGAATGGAATAGCTTTGACTGTGAATTAAGGTCCCTGACAATACAGACACTTGTTGATTTCGCTGCGAGGTTTCGGCACGGGTTATAGAAATACTGCTTCTATGCCCCGAGCATGAAAGTCACTTCAATATTTTGATGCTTTGGACATCATACCGAGAACTTCTACATTTAATGTTGGCCGGCCATCTTCTGTCTTGGCTGCTGTACCGATCGCTGACCTCGGAGCCCGAACTTTTTGACCAACCTGGCGAACCAACACACTTTGACTCGGTTATATAATCTCCGAGCCCAGTCATTCGCGCAAGCTACGCTGTGAGGTTTTAGATGGATCGGGACCGGCTCGTTCGCACATCTACGGAGGTCTCCGCCATGAAGTCATAGGCTTATCTTACGCATCGGACAAGGATCGAGATTATTGTTGCCGAAGATCAGCGACAATATTTTATGTTTCCTGCACCATAGACCACTAACCTGACACAGCGAGTTCATTTTCATTCCAAGCTTCATTTTATCCGCCCAGCAGTGGCTGTGCGGCCGTCTCCAGGCACGATGTTCAGCTTCTTCAGCTCCCGATTTTTTGATTTTGAGCTTATTCGCATCCTTGGGAGCACTCCTTTTGGTGGATGCGACGTTGCGGAATTCCTCGAAGCTGTTGACAAGATCAAAAAACATGATGCTGAAAGCTGGTATCGTGCATGGTACGAACAAGGCGAACGGGCGGAAAAGATAGCGCAGGAGGCGACTCGCGATGGCCATAAAGCTCCTGCCCGGCGAGCGTATCTGCGAGCCTGCAATTACTTTCGTGCCAGCTCATACATGCTTCCTACCTCCGATGAGCGAAATCTTCCTAGTGCAGAGAGATCGATCCGAAATTTCAGAAAAGCGATTCCTTTGATGGATGAAACAATCGTTGTACTTGATATACCTTATGAGGATGGCCTCACCTTGCCGGGATATCTTTACCTTCCAGCACCATTGAAACGGATTCCAGGCCAGAAAACTCCCATACTTTTAAACTGTGGTGGCGCCGACTCGACTCAAGAAGAGCTCTATTTCCTATACGGAGCAGCGGGAACGGACCTGGGCTACGCAGTTCTTACGTTTGAAGGACCCGGCCAGGGCCTTGTTTTGAAGAAAGACCAAATACCAATGCGGCCGGACTACGAGGCGGTCACAAGCAAAGTTCTAGATCATCTTTCAAGCATCGCCAAAGCGAATCCGGACTATTTCCTGGATCTCGAAAATATAGCGGTTGCCGGAGCATCAATGGGCGCTTACTATTCCCTTCGTGCGTCTACTGATAGTCGAATCCGAGCTTGTGTCGCAGTCGACCCGTTCTATAGCCTCTGGTCTCTTGCCCTAACGCGCATGCCCTCGCTTTATGCCAACCTTTGGCAAGCAGGCTGGATCCCAGAATCGTTTTTCAACTGGTCTGTCCGCCTATCGATGGCTTTTGACTTTTGCAGTCGCTGGGAATCTTCCCTTGGGAGTTATATGATGGGCACTTCAACACCGGGCCAGACGCTTCGACGTTTTCAGGCTTTCACCCTTGATGATCCAGTAAATGGAGGAAAGGTTACTGACCGGGCGAAATGTCCAATTCTTCTGACGGGTGCTGGGCATGCAATCTATGCCTCTCCGGATTCAAGCACTGTATACATATACAATTCGTTGAAGCATCTTGAAAAGACACAAAAGGAAGTGTGGATCCCTATCGAGATCGGCGACGGTGGACTTACGGCCAAGGTCGGTGCATGGGGCCTCTTAGCACAGAAGAGTTTTCAGTTTTTGGATAAGCACCTTGGCGTGAGGAGAGCTGGGCTTTCGAGTTATCGCCTCGAGGTGGAGGTGTGAGTTTGGATGTGACAATTTAGTTCCTGAACGGTTCCATCCATTGATCCTTCAGAGCATAATGATTTGCGCGATTTTTTGGTGTATTAGGCCACAGTGCCATCAAATTACTCTTCATACCAAAAGCTCAAGTACTTTGCTGCAACATAATCTATCATTGCTGACTGAAACTATTTGAATTTTTGTGTCCATTGATTACACAGTTTGTGATGAGGAAATACAAGAACTTCTCGATTCTAGATCATGGGCGAAGCGGATAATTACTGATGCAATTAATTAACAGCATATAAATGAGTATTGTCATAAATAGAATGAAGTGTACTACTAATATACATTACAATATGTTATAATTAAAATTGAATCCGAAAATCTCAGATGCGTAAAATAAACCTCCTGGAGTTTCTCTCTCTCATGCCTTCATGGACTTGACCACTCGTGGGAAGAACATCTCCACACCATTGTCCTCAATAGCGCTCAAGTATCCGGCAACGAGGGTGTCCATACCGTGTTCTTTCGCAAGTTGTATCCACTCAGCTAAAGGCAACTGCGAAAACGCAGCGCCACTGCCATCCTCCTCTTCCATGAATGCATCCATCGCATCCATCGGCATCTCCAGGTCCCCGGAATGGTGGAGATACGTGATAGACGCTGGTGCAGTCTCTTTATCCGCTCGAGTCTTGAACACCTCTTCAACGATTGCGCTCGAAGCGTGGGCGGCTGTAACAAAATCCACATGGCCCTTCCAAAGCTTGGATCGAGGAGCCATCTTCGTAAGCAGAGAGTATTTCAGCACGCTATTCATTATGTCGAGGTCACCGGCGTCGTCACCAAGGATACTAGACGGGCGGTGAATCCACACCGGGAGACCGAACTTGGCGCTTATCTTTTCGAGAAACACTTCACTTGTCCACTTCGACGTCAAATAGCCGTCGTTGAAGGATGGCGGTGGTGGAGACAATGCTAACGAGATTTCTTCAAATGTTTCTGACTTGTTCAAGCGCCCAACTGTTGTCGTGGAGATATAATGGAATGGAATGTGGCGGCTTAGGGCAAGTTTGGCCAGCTCTTTAGTGGAGCCAACATTTGATGGCTTTAGGGATTGATACGTTTTGAGGAAGGAAACATCAGCGCCATTATGAATGATGGCATCGGCTTCATTGAAAATCGACCTAGCCACGTCCTCCGAAAGGCCGAGAAGGGGGTGACTAAGGTCACCTCTGTGAACGACCACCTTGCCAGGCTCACAAAATTCGTCGAGTTTGCTACCGGTTCGAACGGCGACGCAGTGAATCTTCTCCACGAAAGTTGATGTAAGGAGCTCCTGGAGAATCTCTTTACCCAAGAATCCAGTGGCACCGGTGAGAACCACCACACGGGGTGGGTTGTTAGCTACGGTAACCGGAGATTCGATTTTTAAATATTCGGGAACCGATGTTTCTGCATCCCAGTTTATAACAGGGGATCCGATTCCCGGTAAGCTCCGGGTTGCAGCAGCCATGGCACTGAGCGTGCTATTCTCAAAGAGATGAATCAAGGCCAAACTAATATCAAAGCGACGCTTAATGAGGTCCTGAACTTTGATCAGGAGCATAGAATTTCCGCCGATATTGAAAAAATCTGTGCTTCCGTCAATGTTATAGGAACGCAATACGTCCTTTGAAATGACTTCTTCCCAAATCTCTAGGAGCCCCGACTCGGTCTCATTAAGTTCAACAACGGCTCGGGATGTGCCGGATATACTGGCTAGAGGAAGTTCTCGAAGAGCGCGTCTGTCGACCTTTCCGTTCACGCTGAGCGGCATTGAATCAATGGAGACAATCATTGCTGGTTTCATGTACTGGGGAAGGGGGAGAGATGGGATTAAGCTTTTCAAGAATCCGGCCCTGTCATCGACGGTAGCTGCGGATGGGAATACGGCATGAGCTAACAACACCGGCGGATCTCCACGAGGTACAACGGCAACATCAGCCAGTTTTCCTTTGGCTGAATTTAGAATGGTTCTCTCAATATCCTGAGTTTCGATGCGAATCCCCCTGAGTTTAATTTGAGTATCCCCATCAATACGACCAAGAATCTCAAGCAGTCCATTTTCCTTTAATCTTCCTTTATCTCCTGATCGATATATCTTGTCTAAGCCATAAGATGCAAGCTGGCCTGAAGGGAAGGGATGAGAAACGAATTTCTTTGCAGTGAGAGATTCATCGTTGAGGTAACCTAAAGCCAAGCTTGCACTGCCAATGCAGATTTCCCCAGGGAATCCTGCAGGAACTGGATTCAGGTTCTCGTCTAGGATGACGATAGAGGTATTCGGGAGGGCATGGCCCACGGGGATACGGCTGCCCGCGGGTTCTGTGATGGGTATTTCAAAGTTGTTTGACTCAAAGGTTATTTCGGTTGGACCATATGCATTGATCAAGCGTAAATGAGGAAGCGAGAGGTTTTGGAATTCGCTAACAAGCCTTTGAGGATATTGTTCCCCACAGGACATGGCGTATCTCCACTGCTTGCTGTTGATTAATTCAAATTTGCCATAGTTGATCCAGCTCAAATACTCCGAGGGCGTGGCTCCAGTATATGTGATATTTTCGCGTACAAGCAGTTGAGAAATTGCGAATGGGTCTCCTCGTACTGATTTTGGGGCCACGACTAAAGTCCCGCCACGAGAGATGCAGAGAAGCGCTTGATAAATAGATAAATCGAAGCTTAGAGCGCTTTGCTGGAGGACAGTGCCTGGGGTTGAGACCATTGCAAACTCCATTCGATTCCGTAATCCTGCATGCGACATGACCACACCTTTGGGAACTCCCGTAGTCCCGCTTGTATAAAGTATCACGGCTGCATCTTCCGCACGAGCTGTGATTTCTATGCTTTCGCCTGAAAACTGACTGGAACAAGCGGAAATGTTGACAATAATCGTGCTCCTGCGCATTTCAAGGTCATTTATCCTGCCAGAGGTTTCGTTATGAATTAAGATCCCGGCTGGACGACAGTTCTCAATTATAGTATTCAATCGAGCTGAAGGTATATTTACGTCCAAAGGCACATAAATACCACCAACCCTTAAGATAGCCAGCAACGAACAGACCCAATCCAGCGTGGGCTCCTGGAGCACAGCAATCGGTG